TTATCTACTGCATTTCAACATAAATGGGAAGATAGAAAGATTTGAAGTGTTTCAAGATCTAGAATGCTGGAAGATTATCCCCGCAGGTGTTCATAAAACTAGATCCAGGTTTTGAACATTAGTCTTTATTAGCTTACTCAGAGAAAATTCTACGCAAATTTATTTTTGTCTGTCAATACTAAGTGTTATCCAAATAACAACACAGTCAATATATTTATTGTGTTCTCATACACAGAACAATATCTTTAGTAGAATTCCAGTCGAAAGACTATTTTAAAAAGATGGTTATTTTCAATTGGAAAAGGTTTTCAAAGCTGCAAAATTGGTTGAAAACTAAAAAGGAATATAACCACCTTTGAAACCTCTCTCATCTACTGTGAGCCAAATGAGATATCAAAAAGAACATGTAATACAGAATATACATTTAGCTATACATGAGTGATCAAAGGTGTACAGACAATGTCAATATCACCACCATATATTTATTCTGATCAACTTTAAAAAAAATATTACAATAGCATATGTAAGATTTCATAAACATAAACTCACAAAGTTGTAATGGTCAACAGTGAAGCTACAGGGGGAAAAAAATCCCTTAACAAGAATTTGGAAATAAAACTAAAAAGCTTTTGCAAAAAATCACTCTTCCATTTCCTGTCGGAATGACATCACTCTTCTGCCAACTACAGCAGCTTCTATGCCCCATTTTGGCCACTCCTCTCACAAGCTTTCACGATTTCTCATGTGTCATTCCTGGTGTCTGGAACACCCACCTTCCTTCTCTTGAAGTCCCATTCTAAGATCCACTTCTGCAACATTGCCTACAGAAAGAGTAGGCAACTAAAACACTCATTCACTGTGTCAACAACGTGCCAAGCATCAGCTTTTACTGTGTACACTGTACAGCATAGCTTTCATCTCACTTTACCCTTCTTACTACACTGTAATGATTTCTCTCCCTCATAGCATCAAAAGGTGGGGATTTAAGATCCAAGAATCACTTTGGAGAAATAGTGTCTACTGTTTTTGAGAGTGCTAGCTGCACCTCTCAGTGCAAACAGGAAAAGTATACTCAACATTATAAATATTTCATTGTGCCTGTGTGCATATGTGGTACATGCACATATGTAATGCACATAAACAGAAAAGAGCAGCCTATTTAATTTTTCTTTACACTGTACTACATTTTAATCCTTTCCTGGCTCACCTGAAATTTCTTGTCAAAATAACTTATGAAACTGAACTGGAAAGCTACATTTAAGCATTTCTTTTGTTTTAAAAAGCCTTCTACTCTAAACCTATTTCCTTCTAACTTTGAAAATCTGGATTAAAATTCAACTAAGAGTCTATAGGAAATATTTATGTTTACATAGGCCAAGGTCTATTAAGACTATGCTCACATCTGCTATTTAACAACTATATTTATGGACAGTCATAGAGGCAGACTTGAAGCAATGTCACCTTTCTGAAAGTCTCAGGGGTTTTGTTTTGTTTTAATAAAAAGAAAATCTAGCATATATGTTGCTTACACATATTAAATGCAAGCCCATTATGAGATGGTATAATTGATCTTCAGGTGACATGAACCTCAAATCATGCTTTCAGTCTTCTATGTATTTCTACATGCCACTCCACCTAAAAGTGAAATACTTTACTGGCTAATTTATTTATTTCAACAATAAGCAGAGCTTCAGTAATGCCAATGCAATTCTAACATACAATAATGCATTATCAAGGCAAAAAAAGTTTAAGAATGGTTGGGTTTGTAACTTTGTGTCATTGAAAATGAGAAGTAGAATACCTGACCAGACAAAAACGCTGCACAAGGCATTTTCAGAAACAAAATGTGGTTGAAGATGTAAAATGCAAAATGACAACAAAAACACTGTAGACACAACATGTAAACACAAGATATAATCAATAACCCAACCTAAGTTACAAATACAATTTTTAGACATTAAAGAAAAAAAACCCTGGCAAGCATATGGCTGAAGTTTAAATCTATAAACTCACTAAAATTAAAGCACTTGCCACTGAAAACACCGTCATTCATAGCTTAAAGCTAAATGAAGCCCTTCCTCACATGTATTTCACGTACTTGAAACTATCTTGCTATCGAAGGGGAAAAAAATAAGCTTATTCAACTTACATCTTTTTCTGACCGATGTGGAAACATCGATGATTGGCTGTAGTACATGTTTTCATCATGGTAGTCACCATCAACCCCCTCTACAAACTTCTTCCTTGAAGCACCAAACATGCTGTTTGTCACCTAAATAAGAAGAAAAACGATTATATACCATATATGATTTGGTTTGCTACATACTTATAATAGTACGTATTTTAAATATGTGAAAGGATTAAAAAAAACAAACCACCTGTTTGTAAACATTTGAAAATTCCTCTTTAAAAATCTTTTCTGTGTATTGCCAACGTAATGGTTTTTCCAAGTGGGACTTTGATCTGACAGAAACTCATATTTAAGAAAGGATTGGGTGGGGAGAGGGGACACTCTGGTTTTTTTGGAGGAATATTCATTTGTTGATTAGATTTTTTTAGTCTCATGACCTTTCGCTCAGGTTTATTTAAAATTACAGAATGTCAGACAACAAAACAGCAAATTTCTCAATTTTTCCTCTTCTCAGGTAAACACTTTCCATCTAAAAGAGAAAATTAAGGAATGTTCTTTAGAGCTTAGGCACCTTATAAGAAATAACAATAATAAAAAAGGAAGAAGAAAAAAAAAAACCTGTAAAATCACTCCCATGTCTCATCAGTACAACTTTGGAAAAAGCAGCTTCCTACTTGACCCTGCACACTTGGAGCCATGATCAGGTAAGAGAAGGTTGAGCTTAACCACACTCAACAACCTCATCACAGACTGGCAAACTTACTTCAGACAACCCATAAAAGCCACTAGATTTTATTTTGCCCTTACTGCCTAAGGTGCATGCACACACAGACAGAGCTGCTAAGTCAGGAACTGGAAACTGAAGAAACAGCAACTGCACAGCTGGTCACAGAACCTTAATTCATTAGAAAATTTAATCCCACAGCAAGGTCATACAACATTGCTAAACCATCTACCACATGCAGGGCGTATTTATACACCTGACTCTCTTATTTATGTAAAAACACACACACCTCTGTTAAATTCCTAATCTATCTAGCTACGAAACACTATCACAGAGCAATGTCGGCTAACCAAGCCCAAATTTAACTTAACAGATTAATATTGAAACCAGCAAAATGGCACATACTGGTCATAACTGAGCAACTCACCCAGTTTCTTGTACTGGGGAGACTGAAGAGAGTGCAACCAACAGGATGGTAATTAACCCTGAGCTAGCGCCCTACACAACATACCTTCAAACAGATCTCTAACATCTTGAAAGGTAAGGAAGCTGAGTTATAGTTAGCTTGCAAAATGCTCTGAGCCCTAAAATTTACTATCTTCACTACTGACAGGATTAGCTAAACTTAAAAAAAAAAGGACAATTTAAAAATATATTTTTTTAAAAGTAATTTTGCACTACCTTAGGCTCATGCTTGAAATTGAAATTTCAAAACCTTTATTCTAGTTGGCTGCAAGGACAGTTACTTTCAGCTTGAAATCCTCTTATCCTTTCTGACACAAAAATACTGATATTCCTCACAGTGTGACTTACTCAAATTTCACCTTTACCGACAAAGATTTCTAGGCAGTGTTTAATAACATGGGTGCTCCTATACTAGTAACAACTTAACCCCATGATTTCAAAGTCATAGGAGTTTCAAGTAAAAGTGAAGTCAACACTTGGGATGCATTTAATACAGCTGTAATTACAGAATTGCCCTAAAATGTTCAGTTAAACAAAAGCCTATTCTACTACTCCTACCAGAGGGTTTCAGATATTTAGACTACTGATGTCTCAAAACAAACTTATAATGTTACACACACATGAAAGCACATAAAGGTACTGCACACGTTCTCCACATTAAACTTGTATTTTATGATACTTACAAAATGTGCAAATGTAAGGTCCCAAACTGCTCAAATGCATTCAGCTGACTTTCACACTTGTAGCAAAGCTTTCATTACACTGTAATCATATCCCACTGTGCTAAATCCCCTTACAATGCAATTATCACCTACCAGATGGTGATGGAGCATTTAACAGGCTAAGGGGATTATCTTGTCCTTTGCTCTGCCCAAGCAAAGTGTGGGGAGATAAGCAGTTCCCTTTAACCACTGTAAAAAGGATAGTGAAATGGTTTGGTGAAGCTATCCCAAGCAAGGAGGAGAAGCTGAGCATCTCAACCTACTACTGCTCTTGAGAAGGTAAAAGGCAGCTTCTCACAGGTCCCAAAGAATTTTTTGTGCTCCTTTAACAATACCTGACATAAAAGAAAAGATTCTTTTTGCCACATAAACCTTCTTGTATCAGAGTAACAATGTAATAGTGACAGAAAGTCACTGAAGCCTACACCATACTGTACTAATGCAATAGCTACAGTACAGGAACTATATAAAGGGGAAAAAACAATCCTATCTTTGACCCTGCAGCTTTTGATCTTATTTCTGCAAGGGTTTACACATGGCTGGCTACACATGCACAGTAAAGATTTCTGAGTCAGTGGGGTAAGGTCACAGCTTTCAGTCTCGAGATATATGCTTAAGGCTGCTGCAAGAAAGCTATCATGTCCAGATATAAAGTCTATATACTGAAAAGCTGGAAGATATTTTAAACACCCTTCACTAAATTTAAATTGTCTAAAAGATACAATTATCAATATAGAAAATAATAAGGCAGTGGCCCAAAAACTAATCAAGAATATGCCCTTAAGACTGGTGAAGTACACTGATATTAATACGGAGTCTTACAAGAACATGGTTATTAAAAAAGAAATGAAGAAAACTTTTAATAATTAAATTAAATAGTGATATTTTTATTGGCAACCCATATTTCTACACGATACCTAACTGGACTGTGCTGATGAACTCCAGAAAGCAGAGCAGTGCATTCCAGGCTGCAGCTGCAGGGGAAGAGGGGAAGGCCAGACGAGCCCTGCCTGCAACCCAGCTGCATCACTGCACCCATCTGCTCTAAGACCTTCAAAAACTTTTTGCAGAGACTGACACTTCTTCACAGCAGCATTTTCATAAGCGATTCTGTGTTGTTCGATGCTGTCAAGCGAAGCAGTTGCGTGCAATGTTCATGCTGTCCACGCTCTGAGGGAAGCGGCACAGGCACTGGAGGGCATTCTGGCAGCTGCCTGCAGCCCTAACAGGATTTTACTCCACTAGAAAGAACTGCCACTTGTTCTTAGGGTGAACCACAGCACAGATCACAACAGAGAAACGTAGCGTTGCAATTCACGCAGCTATCCAGCCCTGTTACAAAACTAACAGCACGATAAAATGAGGCAGCTGCTAAAGACCAGTAACTGAAAGGGCAGGAACTGGGATTAGAGCCTGAAGCTGCAGCTGCCATAGCCAGGCTGCTTACTTCTTGCTTCTTCTTGGGCTAACACCAGCAGCCAATTTATCTGCTTCCCAGTAGTCGCCAGTGACAGTAAATGGCTGGCAAACTTCTGAATCAGAGCACCTATCCCCGTGCAGACTTTTATAATATTACAGAAAGTTTATGCAACGACAGCATCAGACAGTTGCCAAGTTAGCAGTAGGCATCTTCCTATCCACATTAACTTATTCCAGTATTTCATAATATACTCATCAGTCAGTCATGCTACAAGCATATGCAAAGATATCAAAAAAGCACTCTTGCAGTACTATTTGTAGAAAGGTGTGAGAATAACTGGGGCTGTGCCAAATGCAGGCAGATCTGCATATGGGAACTCTGTTGCTTATTTCTTAGGACAAGAAACCACAAGAAACCTCATACACAAAGACTGCAGCTGCTTTTTCATAGACTGACAGATAGGTGTTCAATCAACTACAAAAGCAAATATGGGAAAGTTCATGCAGCACTTATATTTTAAACCCTCTAGAAAGTAACAGTGACCTGAGGATTTGTACCTTCCCAGGGTCTAGTCTGATGAGGTGAAAGGTAAAAATCAGCTCTTGTATCTAAGTCCCTCATTCATACATAGATGCCTATGTACACACACACGCACTGATGACAACACAATCTCACAGAAGTGGTGCTCCATGCATTACATGGCAATTTTATTAAGTAAAGAATTCCTGCCTACTCAGCCTAATTTCATACAGATCACTAATCGTGCAACTACTTTTCCTGTTCTACCATAGGAACTCAGTTCTCTGTTGCACAAGACACGTTGGCAGTGTAACCATTCAATGAAAACGTAAAAATGGTGTACTTCTATCAATTCATCCTTTAGCATAATATTGCAAAAGTATGTACAACTCCCACTGGTAGACCCACGTGCAAATATGATTAGAAAATGTTCATGCTAACAGAGGAAAAAGGGAAGGAGCTACATGTTAGGATGGAGTTCAGAGAACGAACCAGCCATGCTGCCAGAAACCATGCCCAATTCTGATCAAATGAACATAAGCGCTTCTTTCAAAGCACAATCACATCTTGTTTAAAAATCAGATTTGCCCACAACTTCATGTTAATGTTTACCAAGCAAAATGCAGTCACAAACCTGACAAGACCTTTAAATTCTTCTGTAGAACATTTCCTAACAACCACAACTACCATACAAATGTAAAGAACTTAAAGCATCTAATAAGCAGTTTGCTGCAGTCATTGACTTTTATCCTTCAGCTGAGTACATAACACAACAACCAACAATACTTATTTAAAATTTAAAAAAAAAGAATTAAAAAATCAAATATCACAGAAAATCCTTTGCATTGCAAGGAACACTGCAGTAGAGAACACTTCAGCACACAAAAACTTGCTTGTTAGCAATAACTGAAAATACATTATTGACACAGAATTCGTAAGGAAAAACTATTAAAACTTTTGTCATTTTAAGATGCGAAAAGATCTTCTCTATAATCACTTACAAAGTGATGCTATGATTGTATATTAAATTAGTTTAACAGCCTGAAAGCAAATTATAGTATTAAAATATGAAAACTAACTATGTTTCTATTTTGCAATATTACTATAGGTACTGCCCAAGGAGAGCTCACTCACAACATTAACATAGCCAACTCTAAACTAAGAGGATACTACAAAATCTCCCTGGAGAATGAACATTTTTAATTATGCATAGAGCAGAAACATTGATTATTGCATTACAACTGCTTAAACTCATCATCTCTATGAGAGCTGAAACCAATGTACAGTAATA